AAGGCTATCGGTCAAGGAAAAGGGAACCGAATCAAAGCGTAAACTCGGAACTTTCGTCCACCACAGTTCAAGTGTGAGGGTTTTCAACGGCGATACGGACGGTGGACACGCAAAAAGACCAATGGCATTTCGTTATTGCACGCTGAAAGCGGGAGGGAAACCATAGGAGGAATCTCGCAAGGCACCGCCGAGCCTTTTATACGTAATGCTTTGCCTTCTGGCCCTCTGTTTCTCCACATGTTTGTAGACATTCTACAAAAAAATGAATTAAATCTCGCTGACGTTTTCTTTCTTACTTGTTATTCGAATTGGACAATTAAAACACTCGATGTTATTAAAAGTAAATTTGATGAATCCAACGTTTGGTAAAAAATTATTCAGAATGTTACAATTAGAATATCTTATTTTCATCGAATAAGTTTCACTTTCTTGAAATAATCATCTTGAACGATATTCCATATTATATGGGAATTATTTAGCGTTAGTATTGCGAGTGAGCGAGATTTCAATTTATGACTGATTTCTATTTAGAACTGCGCAATTAACAATAATACTGTATCGCTCTTTCATATTTTAATTTAAAATGAAAACAAGTATGTCCTGGGAAGCGACTCGAAAATGCGTTGTTTTAATCGATTGTCCGTACGATATGACGTAAAACCATATGGATTCAATCGTGTAAAAGATCCACCGGAAAATTCCCATAAAAATTACACGATCGGCGCTCCCGAGTGTTTAGCGACACGTGACTAATTTCGTGGCTCATGCACCGGTGGACATCGGTTTGAATCGCGTACTTTTGGTTACGCGGAAATATGCGCGATATAACTACGTTACGCTAATATTTGCTTAACGTGTTTTCTTCCAATTTAAAAATAACGTTTGCCACGATAAATTCACGATTATAATGATGAAGATAATTTCATTAGAGGAAAATAACGAGAGATACAATCGAGCGAGTTCACGAATGTTTTCGATACATTCAAAGGCTCAAAAGATGAAAGTATTTAATAATAAGATTTCTTGTTCGAGAAATTACAATAAGATGGATAACCTCGTATTATTAATTTTACATCTTGTGTCTTACATTTGCGGGCAAAATATTGATGAAAAAATCGGTATTGCAACAATTATGTCGCGAGACAAAAATACACTACCGAATATAATATGACGCGATAAAATTAATATTAAGTCACACATGCATTTAAAATAACTCTACAAATTGCGATTTTATTTGTTTAATTAAATGCACGACTTTATACGGATTTAATTTTCAAAGAAATAACGGTGTGCCGCGGCCGCCGATAAGAAATATCACGTCTAAACTTATTAGCGCTGCCAACATACGCCCGACTGATCCGCGATATTGAAACCTATCTGGAAAATCCTGGCGCCACGATTAATCACCGAAGCCGCGATCGACGGCGTTGACCCTTTTCTGTACGCTTCATGCCGCGTTTATCATCGTACTTTTCGCATGGCCGCACATTTTTCATCGCTCACGCGCATCCAGCCGAATCAACCGGCGGGCTCGCTCACTGGAATAACACAAGGACGCGAATAATACGAGCCGGGAATAATTCCGGGATAAATCAGCCCGCCTTGTCGTCCTTTAATATTCTCCCCGTTGCTGTCCGATAATACAAAATCGCGGCATAATTTCGGTATAAATCGGAGGGGGCGGGGAAGGGAAGCGGAGGCGCGCCATCCCCTCTTTAAAAGCCACGGGCGTTTCCTTCCTGGTGTCGGACGATAGGATTCCCCCCGTGTTATACGACTTCCTTTTCATCGACAGCAACAATGGCGGGGCGGTGGCACGTCGCCTCTCACGTCGTCTCTCCAGAATCGAAGTTTGTTCTGTACACAGAAAACGCGCGCGCGAACGCCCCGGCACACGTGTGCGCTCGCACACACGTTCGCGCGGGGGGAAACGCGGAAGGAGGTTGACGGATCGCAATTCACGCCCGTGCGCTCATGGGCGTCGCTGGGACGCGCGCTGCATCCGCCGACTGTTTCGCAGAAGCGAACTCGCGCGGAAGAATAAGAGGCGAAGCTTGTTAGCTATTTCGCGCAGACCACTCGACGAAATTTATTAACACCGGCGATCCGACAGACTCGTCGCGAAGGACTCGCTTCCGGCGTGACGAGAAGCCGCCGAAATCGATAGAAGCCTAAATGCGCGCATAGTTTTTTTCCCCGGCATTAACTGATGAAGATAAGTGGAGAAAGTTTCCGAGTCTCCCTCGAAGAGAAGGTCCGCCGCTGAGTGGGAAAAAAAAAATCTTGCCGGCGCCCATGAACTGTGTGTTCTCTCTGGATTGAAGAAGGGCGCGCAACGAGAGCAGACGCTTCTTCGGCAAACATTTTTACGCTATTACAGGAATCCGAGACTGGATATTAAGCAAACGCTTACAGCTGCAGGAAATCACTCGAGCCCCGCCCCGCGCGCTATCCACTCGCTCTTTCCACGAACGCCGCCGAAACGAGGGGGGGAGTCGAAAAATTCGCCGTCCTTTCCGCGAATTTTTATTGAGAAGTTTGTAATCAGCGACGGTAATAATTGCAGCGAAATTTTAAAAAACTGCGCGCAGATGTGCGAGCGTTGCCAGTCCTTTGCCGCATCGAAAATAGCGACGTTATCGTAGCAAAAAAAAAAATACGCCATTTTCTGCAACCGAATTAAACATCAATCATTTCCATGATTTTTTGCAGAATAAATGATACTGATATTTCCTGATTGGATTTTACTCCTGTTCCGCGTTCGAAAATATATTTCGCATCGATGCTGCAAATCAATCTAGATTTGTTTAGAGATATTGGCCATTTCTCTCCACCAGACGAGCTCGAGAGCAATTCCGAGGGACGTGAACTGCGTTTAGTTCGGGCGCAGTTGATTTATCGTGGGAGAAAAGGGCGGCACGAATGAAAGAAAAGGGTGGCTTTTCGACGAGAGAACGAGGCACTTCTGTCAATTACTACCCGTCGCGTAGGTGGAATGGCGAAAACACGTTTTATCCCTGACAGCTCGAACGCGACGGATAGATGTCACGTCATCGCCACCCTCCAGAAGCGATTACGAGGCAAACCGGCGTCTCGTCTCGAAACCACCCTCGACAGCGCGTCCTCGATTCAACCACATCGTCATTAAGTTACCGTCAATTAGAACGAAGCGCCGGAGTGAGCGCGTTCGGTATGAAAAAGCTCGCGTGCTCCGCCGAAGAGGATCGGAAAACGCCATTCGTCATTTGTCTCGCCCTTTTAATGCTCAGTTCCACCAACGAGTAGATCAACTTTAATCTCGGTTCAACTTACTCTTCATCTTTTTCTAGTTCTAAGAATTAGAAGACAGCTTTGCGACTGTCCACTTACGGAAGGGGGGGGGGGGAGTGTGCCGAAGGAATCTTTGTAAAATAAACATCACCGTTTCGATGGATAAAAAAAAGTTGCAAAAAACTGATAAAAATCATTCTAAATAGTTAATTACAAAAGTACAATAATAGATTACGGTTTAAATGGATTAAAACCACAACTCTCTCTCTCTCTCTCTCTC